ACATCGCTAATTAAATGCTAACCGAATTATTTAGTTTTATTTGCATACAACCTACATATAATCAATCATAGCGTTAGGTTTTATATCAACCAAACCGTAAAACATGGTTCCATGTAAAAAAAAAAAAACATGTAAGCAAGGTGTTCTAAAGTGCTCTCTATAAAGAGACTCTCCTAAGTGAAATAAGACAAGGAACAAGAACAAAACATGAAAAGAGGTGACGAACAGATTGACGAGAAACGAGAAAAAAGTCCTTTCAACGATTGTTCCACAAAAGGTTAATTTATATAAATACACTTGTAGCATAATCAGGATCGGATCCACAACGATAGATCACAACACTAGACTTCCAAGTTCCAAGATCCAGTTTAATCTATAGCTAAATAGTTAAGAGATATTTTTGGTTTGAAATTATAAGAAAACCATAAAATACGAGTAACTAAAGTGAAATTAAGTAATGAAGAGAATAGAAAAACAATTATAAAAGAAAACAAGTAAACTAATAGATTAAAAAATAATGAAGGGAAGCATTCACAGGTTTTGCTTAGATAAAAATAACGAAACTAAATATCAAACAATTACGGATTAGGTTGAATTGAACATTTGTCATAGTCTTAGAAATTAGAACACGATTCTTTTAATTATGATTTATGATTGATTAGTCCACTCGCATGACGACGCTAATCGACTATGCTAACCACTTATAATTGCTAAAGTATCATCTAAAAAATAAATAATTACCAAGCAATACAAAGATGTCCAGTATTACCTTACCAATTTCCTTAGCCTCTTGACAATTTAGCCTCTTAACATTAATTTTCCTTGGTTCAAACCTTTTAATAAACAAGTACAACAAAATGTTAATATTCCAAATTTGAAACTTGAAAGACCAAGTGTAATATAGTAATAAATCTCTAACCTAAATGAAAAATCTATTTAAAGGCAACATAGAATCATCATCACTATGATTCACTTAGCATGATTAGGAAAAGAACAATACACAATAAATAAGTAAAAGACATAATTAAAGATAAGGGACTATGTTCAAAAAAAGAAAAAGAAAAAGATAAGGGACTAATAAGAATCTCTTATCTACTCCATATGTTCATAATTGTTTGATGTTTTGGAGTTTTCACACATATTAAGAATTCAATTATTGTTTAATCATTTTAACATTGTTTTTAATCTTAAATATTTTTCATAATTATCAACCAATAGTAGTCTAAGAAAGTTAATGATTTATAATCATTGTATCTTGAAGTTTACAATTTACTTATTATAAGTCAATAAAAATAAAATAAAATGCTAGAAAATCAATCTTTGTGGAACAAACAACCAAAGCTATAACATCAATCTTTTAGGAGTATTTGTTAAGTAAAAGTAGAGATCTTCATCTCAATGTTGGAAACAATCTCTAAGTGCAAAAGTAGTATTCATGATTATCTAAGCTTTTTGGTAGCGTTGACAAGTTTTTCTTTTCAATTACTTGTATCGCTAAGTTCTTATAATTCGGTTCTTGGAAATCGAAATGCTTAAAGACGCTATGAATATAAATAAAGTAGGACAGAGAGGGGAACCCATATTATAAAGACAAAAAAATATATATGTCGATATACAAAAACAAATTTATCAAATAAATAATCAATAAAAAACAGCACCATTAATACAATACAATTAAAGGTAGGTTGTGAAATGATTATGAAGATACATAAACCATGTTTGGTTAAGAGGCATGTGATTGTATTATTAAGGGTCGCATCTTAACTACCACCCCAATAAACACGGCTTCCATTTCAGGACATGTGCTCTCTTTACTTTCTTTCTTTTTCTTTTTTGAGGCATGTTACTGTTATATTCATAAGCTTCAGAAAATTACATGTTTTATTTTGCTCATATATAATAATAGAAAATTATTACAACACCTGAAAACATTTATTAATTAAGTTTTTTTATTAAGTTTGACTTTGAAGAGACAAAACTAAAAAATGTTATACAGCTTTAAAAATACGATACATTTCTTTTTCAACAACTTTTTTTTCTAAAACCTTAACAAAAACTAATTTATTTCATATTTTATTTGTTTGGACCATCGTTTTGGATTTACTGCACGGTGGTCATGTGGTTAGGGAGGATCAATGTTAGTAATACGAAGAATAGTTAATGAGTTGTTGTACTTTCTAATCATGCATATTCGATATGATTATGATTAATACTATGGTTATGCATATTCGGTATAATTATAATTAATACTAATTAAGACTACCTTTTTAATAATGATCTTAGTCTAAGAAACGAATCTTCAGCCTGGGATACTAGAAATTTTGTTGTGATCTCTTCTCATATGGGCTGTTGAATTCTCTATTACGTCATGTGCTTTGTTCTTCGACCTTTGTTTGAATGGTTTAAATGCAGTATATGTGAAAGAAATTTTTTGGACGTAGGCTTGCACGATATAGCTGTTTGGACGGACCATTTCGATAGACAGTAACGTCTTTAATTTGTGTCTTTGACATTACATAGTGTGGTCACGATACCTATGAAATATATTTTTCAAAACAAAAAATGACAACAAGATATGAGGTCTGAAATAAAGGAAAATAGAAGTTGTAAAAGGAACGATCAAAAGTTAATTAAGTTTACAACAAGATATGATGAATAAGTGCTTAGGTTACTAGGCTAGTACGTAACAAGTTAATTCATAAATAACAAAAGAAATAGAGAAATTGTTAAAAATATCCCTTTTGGTTTGCACCTTTTCAAAAATGCCCCTTTTAGATGTCCATTTTCAAAAATGCCCCTTTTTAAATCTGAAATTTTATAAAGTTTTATTAGGTTTATAAGGTACTTATGGATTGTAACTACTACTTGAAGACTCGATCCAAGTATTTATAAGGTTTTATAAGGTGTTTTTAAAGGTTTTACAAGTTATTTTAAAGGATTTTTAAGGTTTTTCAAAGGTTTTACAAGATATTTTAAAGGTTTTTAAAGGTATTTAAAATGCATTTATAAGGTATTTATAAAGTATTTATAAGATTTTAGATACATAGAAATGTAGTTTGTGTATGTTTTAATAATATTACATACATATTTGGGTAAATCTTATATTTTTAAGAGCATTTTTTATAAAGTTTTTAAAAAGGGGTATTTTTGAAAAAGGGTATTGAAAAAGGGGCATTTTTGTGAGTCTCCCAAAGAAATATTAGCAAAAATGTTGGAAAAAAATATTGGTTAAAATGTAATTATGGTATTTTTAAAAAAGAACCTTCTATAAATATATTTATTTGGTATTCTCTTAAATCATTAAACCAAGAATTAATACAATAAATAATTATTTAAAACTTTCTAGATATAATCCAATAAATAACATGTTTATATAGCGAAACAAATATCTATTTGATGAATTAGATATATGAAAGTAACATGATATAGTAAGATCTTACAAATTATAAATATTATGTATAATTGCATCAGTTGTTAACAAAACGATGGAAATTATTTGCATCAACAGTATATAAATCATTGACTTAAGTGATGCAAAATTCTTTTAAAAGTAATACAAATATTCAAAATATTTGATATAAAATGATTTTTTTTTGTTTGAGACTAGAATTTAACCCGCGGTACACCGCGGGGCTATATTTTTTTAAAAAACATAATGTTATTTTTTTAAAGATTAACTGAAAATATATCATATTAATTTGTATTTTTAAATGTAGATATCTATCTATGTATTATTTAGTGTATGATTACTATTGTTTAGGTTTCAATTTTTGAAGTATAGATACGAAAACATACATTTTTTTTAAGTAACGATGTATGGTCGATTTTAAAATTTTGAATATTTTACTCCGCAGTATACCGTGGGTCGGTTTTTTTATAACTAAAATTTTTTAATTTTAAGTTGTATTTGTTTTGTTAATATTGTTTCTTTTGTTTTGTGTTTAAGATTGTATAATTGTATTTTGATTGTTAATTTTAGGATTTCATCCGTGATATACCGTTATTTTTTAATATCGACCCAAACCCGTCATTCCATATAAACCCGTCTATATTATCCCTTTAGCTAAATTATTAGTGTTATAAAATCTAAGAAAATAAATTATTATTGTTAAAAAATCCAATAATTTTAGGATCTCACCCGTGGTATACCGTTCTTTGAATGATTTTAAATTTATACTACTAATATATATTTTAAATTTATCATATAAAATATATGATTTCAAGTTTTTGTGTTTTTATTTTATTTAAATAAAGCAACGGCTTAAATGATGATAGATATATTTTTTTTTCTTGTATGTGTATATAGTTTTTCTATGTGAATATTTTGATAATTAGAAATTAGTATTTTTATTGCTATGCAAAATGTTAATATAAATATTTGCTATAAATTTTTTTTGAAGATATATGGAAAGATTGTGTAGAGATTTTTAGAAACAAATTAGGCAAGATATTATTTGGTTAATATCTTTTATTTAAATTGAGTAAAAGTAAATAATAAATGCCAATGGCATGGACTCGTAAATAAGGTGGAACTCTAAGATTTATTTGCTAAGTGTACTCCAAAAATGTATATATAGATAATGCACTATGCAAAACTGAAATCACATAAGTAAACATATATATAACTATATTTTATTTTTATTTTTCTTACATTGGACCTTTACACATAAAACATGTAACAGAGTAAAAAAATTTTTAAAAAATTCTAGGGTATTTTAAAAATATATATATATATTTTATAAATATATATCATGGATCAAAATATCCTCTTGTCATTCATTTACCTGTACTTTTTTTTTTTATATAAATGAAAATCGACTACAAACAAAAAAATAAAACAAAATCGTCCAAATAATAGACTTTTTCCCATAGAAAAAAACCTTTTGTTTTCGACATTCGCGCCATCAAAAAGAAATCCCAAGAAATTAAATGCCAAATCCAGCTACAGTGTAAATATTTTATGCTTATATATCGGGCCCTTGAGAGAAATCATAGGAGAAGAAGAATAGAGAGAGACCAAACTTGGAATCTGGACAATAAACAAATCTTTTTATATTAAAACTCCACAGATCTCCCATTCTGAGATGCAGAGAGATAATAACAACAATTGAGACCAAAGCTAAATCCGAAACTGTCACCGTTTTCCTTTGTCTTCTTCTCTCTGCCATAATCTTTCAATCTTTATCTTCTTCCTTTTTCTTGTTTTTCTAAACCTTCTCCATCTTGAAAACCAAAAAAACAACCCAAGATGGGTACTGGTTGGCGACGAGCATTTTGCACCACCGCCCCAAGAAACAGCGACGCAGCGGCGCCGGATCTCGACAAGCAACGCACCGGGTACACACTTAGCCCAAGTCCTAGCCCAAGAAGCTGCGTGAAGCTAGCTTTTCTCTCCGGAGGAAGTAATCCGTCAACTCCCCGACCAACTTCTACTCCTAGCCTACGTTGTCGGACGACCGATACCGAAACTCCCACGACGGAACAAACACCGACGCCAAAATCAGCGACAAAGAGTCCTAGACTGTCTTTAGCCGCTAGCTCTAACCCTTCCTCGCCTCGGTCACCGTTAAAACTTTCTCTGTTTCGCAACAGTTTCAAATTCAGAGTAAGAACCATATTAAGCAACGAAGAGAACTCAAATAAACTTAAAAAAATGTTTCTGATGATTAATTTATCTTTGCAGAGTACTTGTGGGATATGTTTGAATAGTGTGAAAACAGGGCAAGGTACGGCGAAGTATACTGCGGAGTGTTCACACTCATTTCATTTCCCTTGTATCGCCGACTATGTTCGTAAACACGGCAAGCTTGTTTGTCCTGTTTGTAATTCCATCTGGAAAGATGCTTCTCTTCTTGCTCCTCATAGGAATGCAACTGAATCTCCACTCGACGACTCTGTTTCGGTAATCCAGGAGAAGCGCGTTGTTGTCACGTCTTCTCCTAGAGCGAAACCGAGGCCAAAGCAAAGTGATTATTCGAGATTTTACGATGATGATGAGCCTTTGCTTTCGCCGAGGTTTGTTACTATACCTGAAGCTGATGAGAATTGTGGAGGGGAAGAGGAGGATGACGTGGCTCAGTTTAAGGGATTTGTGGTGGATCCGAACCCTTCTTTTGCTGTCAAGACTCATGAGATTCCAGCCAATGGTCGAGATTCTGGAAACGTTCAGGTGAGTTTGTTGCCTGAAGCGGCGGTTGTCTCTGTTGGGTGTGGTTACGAGACTCGTGCTGTGGCTTTGCGGGTGAAGGCGCCGCCTCCTTTATCTGCGAGAGGCGGTGTAGGGCGTAAGCTGTTAGATCCGTCGCAACGTGCGCCTGTTGATCTTGTGGTTGTAGTTGATGTAGGTGGAACAATGAACGGTGCGAAATTACAGATGGTCAAACGAGCCATGAGGCTTGTGATTTCCTCGCTTGGCTCAGCTGATAGGCTCTCTATCGTTGCTGTTGTCACGACTGTTCCCAAGAGACTCCTTCCGCTGAAGAGAATGACAGAGAACGGCAAACGCTCTGCTGGAGCAGTGGTGGATGGGCTTCTTTGTAGTCAAGGTTCGAACACAAGCGAAGCTTTGAAAAAAGCAACAAGAGTGCTTGAAGATCGCAGGGAGAGAAACCCGGTGGCTAGCATCGTACTCCTAACGGACGGTCAGGGTCAGTCGAGTAAAGTCCACACAAATCAACGGTCAACAATAACCAACGTGGGATCAACACGTTTTGCTCACATTGAGATCCCTGTTACAGAGCATGGCTTCGGAGAGAGCGGTGGATGTAGCAATATTGCCCCTGCAGAGGAAGCTTTCGCAAAATGCATAGGAGGATTGCTTAGTGTGGTGGTTCAAGATCTCAGGATCCAAATTCGTGTTGGATCAGGATCTGGACCATGTGAAATCTCAGCCGTTTATCTATGTAATGGACGGCCTACGTTGGTTAGCTCTGGTTCAGGGTCAGTCCGGCTTGGGGACCTCTACGCAGGTGAGGAGAGAGAGCTTCTAGTCGAGCTTAGGGTCCCCTCAACAGCCACTAGGGCCTACCAAATTTTGTCAGTTAGAGGTCTTTATAAAGACCCATCGACACAAGAAGTTGTTTATGGACGGGACCAATCTCTCCGCGTTCCCCAAGCCGTTCGATCATCTTCTTCTCCTAGAATCGAACGGCTTAGAAGCCTCTTCATAGCGACTCGGGCTGTTGCCGAGTCGCGGAGGCTCGTGGAGTATGGAGAATGCACAAGCGCATACCACCTTCTGACTTCAGCTCGTGCGTTGCTTGGTCAGTCGGGAACGGTGGAAGCGGCTGAGTATATAAAGGTTGTGGAGGCGGAGCTGGTGGAAGTTCAGTGGAGAGGACAACAACTAATGGAGTATCAAAGTCAGCACCAGCAACAACATAATCAACGGCGGAGAGGGAGCGAGAGAGAGACGACGACGACGATGCTGATGGATGAAAACGGTGAGCCGTTGACTCCAGCATCAGCGTGGAGAGCGGCTGAGAAGCTGGCTAAGTTAGCTATGATGAAGAAGAGCGACTTGCACGGCTTCGAAAACGCTAGATTTTAATGTTTATTTTGTATGTTCACATATGAATAATTTTTTATTCTGAGAATACAAAGGAAAATGTGTAGTAGTCAGAGAGTGTCATAATAGCAGGCGGCACATTACTTTAAATTTATTATTACTTGTGATAATTTAACCCAATGAGTCCATGGAAATGTTTGGCCTTTAGAATTTGACCGTCTTCTTTGGCATTTTGAGTTGTGGGATTCTATAACAATCAATTATTTATAGTAACTCTATTTCATAATAAGTGTTTTATTATTTTTTTAATAAATTTTGACTTTTGTCCTTATTAGTTCAGTTTATGAAATAAAAAAAAGGAACTTATAAATGTATTAATTAAAATATTTTTAAAATAAATATGAAAATTTAAACATGAAACATAATTAGTACTATTTGTGCGAGTAAAACACACACAAGTAAATCAGAAAGCAAAGTAGAATTCAGAAAAGCGATTATTACAAGGGATTTTCGCTTGGTTTGAAAAGCAATTTAGGATTTTTAGCAGTAATCGAATCTAGGGTTCTTGAGTGTACGTAAAATTATGAATTATTTGTACGGTTGTCGAGCTTCCTATTTATACGAGAGGGTAGTCAGTTTTGAAATTAATATATACAACTTTCTTATTTTTTGAGATGAGATATGCATATATTTTTTTTTTATTTTTTTCGGATTTTCGAAAAATTCTCTAAGATTTAAGCTACTTTTTTCCTATTTCTATGTAGGTCGGTGCTGCGCGACCTGATCAATGTCGGACTTGTATTATTTGGACCGAGTTTTTGGTTATTTGATTTATTTGTGGTTTAAGCCGAGTTCACCGGAAAGTGCTAAACCACTCTCTTACACTATTCATTATACGTTAATAATTCTTCGCATACAAATTTGTGTAGTTTGTGGATATTGTTCATATTAATTAATGACTACATTCAATAGTTCTACCAAAAATTACATTCCAATTCGAAGTGACGTGTTGAACACAGAAATGATTTATAAATGATAAGATAATAATGAAAAGTGAATTAGGATTGAGAGAGTTGAAGTTAGGGGGTAGAATAATTGAAGCTGGTGGATGAATGATGCCTTTGAAATAATCATGAACAAATAATTCCTATCTTTTATTGCAGTTGTTGGTTGTTATATTATGTTAATAATAACATCGATCATCATCATTGCATTATAGATCATTCATTGGTTTCTATAGATATAGATACTGGAATGTTGGTCTTTTGCTTATGCATATGATGATTCTTTTCTAACTGCTTTTGACTTACCATACCTTTCGTTTTAGAGTTAATTTAATACGTGGAGAAATAATAATTTTATTAGTTTGTTATATATAAATAATAAAATGTTGTCGATAAAAATTTGTGTAGTTCACGTCGGATGATGAATCAGAGTTGAGTAAATGAGCAGGTATTTGTGTACCATTAAAGTGGCATTGATACAATCCTACTTCCTCTCATTGATACATTCATTGTGTTACGAGTTTTCCTTTGAAAAGAAATTTGTTCACAATGAATTCTAACTCTTATAGCTCTAGTTGTCAAAGAAAAGCATGCTATTGTAATCAAAGCACAATATCCTTAACAATATAAAGCTCATTTTACGATAATAAAGGTAATCAACAATACACCATTTTCAAAACTTCAAGCGATTAGTCTCAAAAGAAAATTATCATTGGTGTGAGAGGAAAAGAGAAGAATTGAGAGTAATTCAAGAGTTAAATGAAGGGAAAAGTTTTTGGGTTTAAAAAAGGCGTAATAGGGCTTGGTTTAAAGTTGGATAGGGGAGAAATCTGGTTTTTATTTATATAAATAGAAACGAAAATTGCAACTTACTCCGAGGGAGCGTCAGCCGGGTTGGATAAGACAATGACGTGGAGGTTCCAACTTGGTTGGTTTTCCCGTGTCTTAGATGGTCAAGGGAAGAAATTGCTCACGGGCGGTGGTTATAGAGATTAATGATTAATGAGAAACATCAATGGCACAAACTTGAGGTGGAGGCTCTTTGCCAAGGTAATGCTAGAATTGTTGAATTTGCTTACTAGCAGACAAATAACTGTGAGAGGCTTTCTTTCTCTATCTCATTACTGGAGAAGCTGTAAAAGTTGATGAAGATAACCGGGCCTTGTGGCCTAGTGGCCTAGTGGTAAAGGGGTCACAGCTGTGATTTCCGCCACCAGGGTTCGAGGCACGGCCACTGGCAGGTTTACATAGGGGAATTGCCAGCCTCGTGGGATTAGTCCTTGGGCCTAGGAAGCCTTTGGGAGACCCGCGGTTATTCAAAAAAAAAAAAAAGTTGATGAAGATTGCGGAAGTGAAATAACAACGTTGTGGAACAGTTTCACAATGCTCTCTATCTAGGAGATGTTAAAGAACATGTTATAGAGATATCTCTAAAATTATATTGTTACTAGATCCTGACCCGCACATACGTGCGGAGTTTCATATTTTAAAAAAAATTCTAACAAATTTTAATTCAATATAGATTATTTTTTTGTTTCTATGATATATATTTTAGTGTATTAGATCTGGATTCACACGTATGTGCAGAGATATCTTTATAGAAATTGTTATATAGATTTTAAAAATATAAAATATTTTGTTGTGTTAGTGAACTTCGTAATAGTATAAATATTATAAAGTTAGAGTAATGAACGAAATTCAGTTGCGTTAGTGCATAGTTATATTTTAAGATTCGGACCTACACGTACGTGTGAAATTATTTTTAAGAAATAATTAAGATATAATTTTGTTGCAAAAGTTAAATGATGTTACGTTTTTATTTTCTAAACTAATCAAAACATTTCTAACAGTTTGATTACATGTGTTATATAGGATATGGATTCGGTTTTAGTTTGGTTATTTATGTATATTAGCTAGACATAACAATATTGGAACGGGAAACCTATCCCGTCCTGTATCTGTCATAAATTCTTCGTTCCATAACCCGTCTCGTATACGTGAAATAATTATATGACGGTCCCGTATCCGACATAAATAGAATATGTGTAACTGAAAACGTACGTACAAAATTATGTGTATAAACAAATTTATTTTATATAGTGCTCATAACCCGAACTCATACCAGTTGGGTATTTAGTTTGATTTTTAATTTATGTTCCCATCTCATCCCATCTCGTAATTCCTATTCTCATTTCATTCCATTAAATTCATATACCAAATTCTTATTTGCTTACCTTTAAATACCATACAATACATATTCTGAGTTTTGCGGATTAATATATATGTTGTTAAAGTTACAAATATATTTTAAAAATTTATTAATGTTTCTTTCCTTAGCTAAATTATGCATATTATTCTTTTTATTGTTTAATCATAATTAATTTAATTTTTGGACTAAAAATAAAAATTTGAAATACATCTCTAAAAGGGATATGCTATTGCTGCATAATTTGTTTTGAATGCAAAATATATATTTAGTTTACATTAATTCGTGCAATATATTAGGGATTTATTTAAGGAAGATCCGGTTGAAAAAAAAAACGTAAAATAATTTGGAAATTGATATGTACAATGTATTGTTTAGATATTTCCGAAACTTGCTCTAAACGAAGGCCATGAAGATAACTATTTTAAATTTATTATTATTTGAGTTTATTTCATAGTAAATATAAATATTTGTTAATATCTAATATTGTTTTTCTGAAATTGTGAAATAAAATTTTGTTTTATATTTCAAAATTTATGAAAATATTATAACAAAACTAAATCTTTAAATATTTGTATTTAATTTTCTTATGAAATTTCAAATTCAATATTAAAATCCTCCATTGATAAATCTTTTAAGCGATAGTGTTTTTAATTTTGAATTAAAATGATATTAATTTTCTTTTTTATTTTTGATATAGAATAGTCTATTAGAATTGGTTTAGATAAAATTTTAGTTGGATATCGAATCTTAGCTTTTCAATTCTCATTGGTTAACAATTTTTTAGAAATTAATTTCAAATTTTCGTCCATAATTAATAAGAGAGAGAAAGTTAGTTTATTTTTTTTGGAAATTAATAATTATTTTAAAGAATTTAACTATTTTATATTTAAATATGTTAATTTTGTGATTACTATTGTACCCTTAATGAAGTTATTTAAAAACACTAAAACTCAATGGCATCTTTTGTAATATTTTACCCTTCATAAGGTTGTTTAATATCTAGTGATTCCCAATTAATAATATAGATTGTTCTTCCTCTTCTTATTTTCCAACAAAGAGAATCCCTCTATGCCAAGGTCGGTTTGATCGAAAGGTTATTAGGTTGATTCATTGTGATTATAAATTTTCAACCAAAAAAATAAATTTCTTTAGTTTTAAACTAGACCATAATACTTTATTGTTATATCTAAAGTATAATTTTTCGACAGTGAGAACAAAAAAAACACATGATGACAATAGATCAAGACCGTATCACACTACAACGCAAGAAAACATATGAATTTGGAACCGTAAGCACAACGTTAGACCACTCAACCTTTCCCCAAACTTGACCACTAGGACGTTTTTCAAGCGCAATCAACGCACACCAAATATTCTTGTCTTGAAGAGGACAACGTCGACGAGGCTGCACAACCTTGTCCCACAAGATTAAGAGTTTCCCACCGTACATAACTGTTTCAATCAAACCATCACGACGATTCTGATTTAGGGAAGACAAACCCTTGACAAGTTTCCACTCTTTAGATTCTGTGTCATACCACAAGCAACCTCTGGGACGACAAGAGTACAGTACATGATTTATCTTACACATACTCTCATTCACGAGTGCTTTTGCTACAACGTTCCATTTACGGTTTTTGGGATCATAAACAGAGTCCTTGTTATCGTTGCTCCTAACGTAAATCTTTCGTTGTATTACCTCTACTTTTTTAATTATTGTAGAGAAGCGGAGCTCGGGGCCAGGGTCAGGTAAAGGTTCCCAAATTTGAGTCTTTATATCGAAAACCTCACCCCAGTTTGCGGTAACATCTGCGGCGCAACCTCCCATTACATATATTTTCCCATGGAGGAAGCATGCAACTGCATTTGCTCTAGCTACAGTCATGTTTGGCGTTTTACGCCATGGCCAAGTACCCGTGTTTTTGACCAACATGACAGTGGACGGAGGATAGTATTGTTGGAGTGCATAGATTTCTGAACCAACCGTAAGAATGAACAACGGGCTACGAGAAGTATAGGAAGAGGGTATTTTTACCAATGTAGACTTCTTCTTCTCCATGTCGATTAGATCAGGTTTTATCCAAAGAGTGAACCAGGAAGGAAGAGGACTATTGGGAAACTGTAAGCAGACGTTAAAGAAGGGTTCTTTGATTTTGTGGAGAAATCTAGCGTAGTTGAGCTCAATGGATAAGATGAGAGAGTGAAAGGTCTTGGAGACTAGGGAGAGTTTCGGGTAGTACGATTTTGATATGCGGGATAAGCAGTTTAGAACGATCACATCTGGAAGCGACAAAAACGACGGCAATGGTGGTGGTGGTGGCAGGTTCGTTTTCTTCCTTTTCCATGGTGGTTCGACTTCGGTATTCATTGCGGCGGAGACGGTGGTTTGTAGCAAAATGTTGTATAGATTATTAGGGTAAATCAAGGATTAGGTCTTTTCCAAAAAACCAGCATGTGAATAAATTACCTTTTAGTATTTTTTAATATTGAAATCTAAGTCCTTGGTTTGATTTAAATATCTAGTCGATCTTAAACAACTAGATTCAGTATTATTAAATGGTCCGCTATGCAATTGACATTCAACAAATTTTAGAAAATTATGTTGAAACACTTTTGCTACGATCGAATTTTATTTAATAAAATTTATAAGAATTTTTTGTATATTTTCAAACGCTGGTTTACTCACACCAAAAAAAAAAAAAACGCTGGTTTACTTGAGAAAATTTGTTTGTTTTTTTTTTGTTTTTAGTTTCTCAATCTATTTTTTTAAAAAGATTTTTACATTGTTTTACAACAAATTTTATAATATGATTATTTTAATAATAGAAATTCAAGCTTATTAGTTATTATTGTATATGTTTTTTGTTGGCAACATATATTACGCGGGGTTGTGACAAAGTGACAATACTAGTACAAATCACTACTTTATAAATCTTAGTTTTTTTTTTACATCTTTGGATTGACAAAGCTTGATTCAAACCAATTTCTACTATGCGGGATAATGCAACTTTATAAGTCCTAGTTAGAATATTTGTTATAGATATATTTTTCTTTCTGTAAAAAACATGCATTATTAGGATTTGAACTAATCTATGATAGGACAACAACTATATAAGTATATAAATCATTAACCTACTACATTTCATAGTCTACTTCCATATAAGAGACTATGTACTTCCATATGGAGAGAGAGTGAGATAGGATTCTCATTTGAGATACTCAGAGATATTCATGAGAGGTTTTGATGACATTCGTCATCCATTGAATGGTTGAATTTTTTTTTTCTTTTAAATTTAAATATATATATATATATATATTTTTTATTTTTGAGAATCCCAAAAGATATTTTATGGATGTAGATGCCCTTAGACCATGATTAATGACATGTTCTTAAGAAAATCTTAAGCTGGATCTTAGCAATAAAATGATTAAAATTAAATTCCAATTAAGCCATTATTGCTAAGAGAGTTTTTTAGCTAAGCAACAAAAACATAGTTAAGATCCATATTTTACAAATATATTACTTAAATATTCCTAAGATTTATTTCTAAGACACTATGGATAATGATGCTCTTACACTTGCATATCTTCGAATTTACCCAAGGATTTTACGTAAGAAATGTGATGGTCCAAGCCCAAAGTCCAATCTTTAAGATGGGTCGACAGACCTCATGGAGTATCTCCTCTCTCCATATGGCTCTCATATGCACTATGCCTAGTTTGAGAAAAAAAGATACGTTTATATGCTCGCTCTTCATGACTGATTCAGTGATTCACACATTATTTTCTTTTATTTCCACTTATGTTTTTATTAGTTTTAATATAAATATAATGTATTTATTTAAATGATAAATAAAATGTGTTTGTGAAAAGAAAAAAATTCTTAAACGTATAACATACAGCAAATTTTAGAAAATTGTGTTAAACACTTTTGCATCAACACTTTCAGAGTCATTTGTTTAAATGAATTTTGCATCAATTATAAGTAATACCAAAATTAAAAATAAATGATACAAAATGATCTTTTTTTTTGTAGTGGTATGATCAAATTGTATTTAATAAAATTTAAATGAATTATTTGTATATTTTCAAATGCTTCACTTATATGTAATGTACGTATTTCCGACTCCATGGGACATATGTTTCAAGAAAGCTCAAAATCTATTTGAGAGAAATAAATATAATATAATTATGGCGAGAAAATGTTTTATACAATATAGCATTCTCTCATGCATGGTAGTGTCCAATGTCCATCCAAAAAAGCACAAGCAAAAAACATGTCGAGACAAGAGCGAGGTTCTTGGACAGATGATCATGCACTCTTTAGTATCAGATTCAGTGATATTTCAACTCTTCTTTTCTAATAAAAATAAAAAAACAAAAGTAAAGCTTTCGAGGGTATAAAGTTGGCTACATACATATACACCTCTAAGTTATTCTCTATAATAACTTAGTGGGTATAAACATAAAGCTTCTTTATGCAAAAAGAAAGATATGTATGTTCCTTTTCTTCAATGATATTATTATTTAAAACTATCTTTTTTCGTAAATTGCATCTATCTGATTCTGATCGTGTACAAAAAACATGAACCCTTCTTTTGTTTTTATAAGCCTATCAATAATTTGCAGTCTTTCAACTTGTAAGCTTAGCTTCTTCTTTCTCTCTTTTTTCTCCCAAACACAAAACTTATCTCTCTTTTCTTGCAACCTAAGTTAGCTTCTCTAGGTTACTTTTGATCTTTCTCTGAAATGCGTCTCAAATTTTTCCCCTTTCTTGTTCTCTTCTTCTTCTTTTGCTTCAACAACAATCAATCATGGGGCTTGATGAGTTCGAACCAACAACCTCAATTCTTCAAACTTATGAAGAACTCTCTCTCCGGCTACCCTTTATCCTCTTGGAATGTCACTGACGTTGGTGGTACTTACGACTACTGTAGCTTCACAGGCGTAAGATGCGACGGACAAGGGCTAGTCACCGATCTTGATCTTTCCGGTTTGTATGTCTCCGGGATTGTCCCAGAAGGGATTTGCTCTTACTTACCAAACCTCCGTGTACTTCGTCTCTCTCACAACCATCTCAACAGAAGCAGCAGCTTCCTCAACACCATCCCTAATTGTTCTCTGCTTCAAGAGCTAAACATGAGCTCTGTATATCTCAAAGGAACTCTCCCTGATTTCTCACCGATGAAATCTTTAAGAGTCATCGATATGTCTTGGAACCACTTCACCGGTAGCTTCCCTATCTCGATTTTCAATCTTACCGACTTAGAGTATCTCAATTTCAATGAGAATCCAGAGCTTGATCTATGGACTCTACCGGATTATGTCTCTAAGCTCACAAAGCTCACACACATGCTCTTGATGACTTGTATGCTCCATGGTAATATTCCAAGATCCATTGGGAATTTGTCTTCTCTTGTTGATCTTGAACTTAGCGGTAACTTCCTCTCCGGTGAGATTCCAAAAGAAATAGGGAATCTTTCCAACCTGAGGCAGCTTGAGCTTTACTATAACTATCACTTAACCGGGAGTATACCAGAGGAAATCGGTAATCTCAAGAATCTTACGGATATCGATATCTCGGTTAGTAGGTTAACAGGAAGCATACCGGATTCAATCTGTAGTCTTCCAAAACTTCGAGTGCTTCAGCTTTACAACAACAGCTTAACAGGTGAGATTCCCAAGTCACTTGGCAACTCAAAAACCTTGAAGATCTTGTCTCTCTACGACAACTACTTAACCGGTGAACTCCCGCCAAATCTTGGATCTTCCTCGCCTATGATCGCTCTTGATGTCTCGGAAAACCGCCTTTCGGGTCCTCTTCCGGCCCATGTTTGCAAATCCGGTAAGCTTTTGTACTTCCTTGTACTACAAAACCGGTTCACTGGTTCGATCCCTGAGACTTATGGGAGCTGCAAGACCCTCATACGGTTCCGTGTTGCGAGCAACCGCCTAGTGGGATTCATACCACAAGGAGTTATTTCTCTGCCTCATGTCTCCATCATCGACTTGGCTTACAACTCCTTGTCCGGTCCAATACCTAATGCTATCGGTAACGCTTGGAATTTGTCAGAGCTGTTTATGCAGGGTAACAGAATCTCCGGTGTTCTACCTCACGAGATCTCTCATGCCACCAATCTTGTGAAACTTGATCTCAGTAACAACCAACTTTCTGGTCCAATACCTTCAGAGATCGGAAGACTTAGGAAACTGAACCTACTTGTACTGCAAGGCAACCACCTCGATTCTTCGATACCTGAATCACTTTCCAATCTCAAATCTCTCAACGTTCTTGATCTGTCCAGTAATCTCCTCACCGGAAGAATCCCTGAAGACCTCTCCGAGTTGCTCCCAACCTCGATTAATTTCTCCAGCAACCGGCTCTCCGGTCCCATCCCTGTCTCATTGATAAGAGGAGGTCTTGTAGAAAGCTTTTCGGATAACCCGAATCTCTGTGTTCCGCCAACTGCTGGTTCATCGGATTTGAAGTTCCCGATGTGTCAAGAGCCTCGCGGCAAGAAGAAGCTGAGCTCCATCTGGGCAATCCTTGTCTCAGTCTTCATCCTAGTCCTAGGGGGCATCATGTTTTACTTGAGACAACGGATGAGTAAAAACAGAGCAGTGATAGAGCAAGACGAGACCTTAGCGTCCTCTTTCTTCTCCTACGACGTTAAGAGTTTCCACCGCATAAGTTTTGACCAAAGGGAGATTCTTGAAGCTCTTGTGGACAAGAACATCGTAGGTCATGGTGGTTCGGGTACGGTCTATAGAGTAGAACTCAAATCCGGAGAAGTAGTTGCGGTGAAGAAACTATGGAGCCAAAGCAGCAAAGACTCAGCTTCTGAAGACAAGATGCATTTGAACAAGGAGTTGAAAACCGAAGTTGAGACCCTCGGGAGCATTCGCCATAAGAACATCGTGAAACTCTTCAGCTACTTCTCAAGTTTGGATTGTAGTCTTTTGGTGTATGAGTACATGCCTAATGGTAACTTATGGGACGCTCTTCACAAAGGCTTTGTTCATCTCGAGTGGCGTACTCGTCATCAAATTGCGGTTGGAGTCGCTCAAGGATTGGCTTACCTTCACCATGATCTCTCGCCGCCAATCATTCATCGCGATATCAAATCGACAAACATTTTGTTGGATGTAAACTATCAGCCTAAAGTTGCTGATTTTGGTATTGCAAAGGTGTTACAAGCTAGAGGGAAAGATTCAACCACAACCGTTATGGCTGGCACATATGGTTACTTGGCACCAGGTGATGATATATAATACCTCTTTAAACCTTATATTATAAAACATTACAATGCTTTTAAACAACTTAGAAAATGGTATTCGATAATTTATTTTCATGGTGTTAATTATGATAAATTTTATTGAAAAATGCTATTTTAACTTCATCCCTTATCAACAATTCTAAATATTTCATTTGATTGTGTTTTTTTTTTGTAAAATGTAGTCGTTTAATTTGTTTTTCCTTACTAACCAATTGATGATATACATTTTGGAAATGGCAGAATATGCGTACTCATCCAAAGCAACGATCAAATGCGACGTATACAGTTTTGGGGTTGTGTTAATGGAGCTGATCACGGGAAAGAAACCGGTGGATTCGTGTTTCGGGGAGAACAAAAACATAGTGAACTGGGTGTCAACAAAGATTGACACAAAAGAAGGATTGATTGAGACACTAGACAAGAGATTATCGGAAACATCGAAAGCGGACATGATCAACGCCTTGCGTGTAGCTATCCGTTGTACCAGTAGAACTCCAACAATTCGTCCTACTATGAATGAAGTAGTCCAGCTTCTGATTGACGCAGCGCCTCAAGGAGGAGCCGACATGACCACTAAATCTACTATCAAGATTAAGGATTCAATAGTGTCAGATCATCTCACGCAAACAAGACTCTAGTCATGCTTTCTTGATGAAGAGGTGTAGCAACAGTTCGTATAATTAACTTCTAAAGATATCATGTATTTAAATATATATCATAGAAGAAACTGCTTATATATATAGTCTTTTAATACTTCTATGTATTTTAACATCTATAAATACTTTGCTTATTTCCGGTTATGCTTCTCCTATTTCAAATCATCATAAGCATAAGCAAGGAATTTTTGTCAAAAAATAAGAAAGAATAGTCATGGAAGATCATCAGTCAGACTATATAATATAGTAGTTGCTTCAAAATAACGCATAGAATCAGAATGTCTATATATGTAGACCCACTAATGAATAATAATAATTCACAAGCTCTTTATTTCTTGTGGACTTTTAATTCGTCATTCTTCTTTATTCATCAGTGAGTGGAACTTCTTTTTCGATTGCATGGCATGGAAGTGGATTCTTGATTTTCATTTTTATAAACCTACAAAAGGGGAAAAGTAATAAGGAGGCTATCTAAATACATGTGTCATGTGTGTATATATAACTAAATAAATATATATTCATCAGTATGATCCGGATACGTGTGATTGTTCGATTAGTCGCATCGTCATATTTGTCTCTATATATCAACAAAGGGACAAAGGAGAAAGCAAGAGACTCATTTTTATTCTGTCATGCTTTTTCTTATAATATTTATTGGAGGAACCGGAGATCGACCGAGATCGACGGTCGAGATGAAAAGTCCAAGATTATGGAAATCATGAAGATCGAGAATGATCTAGAAGTTATCATATCTTAAGTTTAGGAAGTTTAACATTATCTCTAAATATATTATTTACATTTATATTTATCATAGATTAGGAAATCTCATCTCTATATAAGAGAATGTAATTTATAACTTTATTCTCATGAGAGTCTAATTATAATTCTTCCTAAACACATTTGTGTTCTTACTCTCATCAATTGAGAGAAACTATTCTACTTCTACGGTTTCCTCCAAACTTATCATGGTATCAGAGCCTTGATCCTATTCCTATGGGTTAAGGTTTTCTTTGCTTCCGCAACTATGAAAAAAAAAAAAAATGTTGATTTGAGATTCGTCTCTTTTGTTTACTATTTTCATCTTTGGAAAATCAAATATGCTCTTTTGATTTATTTTTCTATTTATTTTAGGTGAATCAAAAAAAAAAAAAAAAAAAAGTGAAACGACAAGATATTGTTACTTTGTTGGTTTGGTCAAATATTTGGCCACGATTGATGTTTTTTATTGAGTAGCATACTTGCTACGTGATTATGTACGGTGATGCCGTATTGATGAACACCTCCGATGATTGCTTATGGTGGTGGTGATGAAACTACTCCAACGATGCTGTGGAGTTGATGACTATGATTCTAATGGATACAATGCTGATCCGGCGGTGATGAATTCAAATCCGACACAAGTTTCTTCATGAACAAGATGTTCGAAGAGCGACCAAGACTTGTGATTTATAATCGATGGAAATACACAACTACGAAAGATGTATTTTTCATTAATTTGACCCTACGGCGGGGTATAAACGTCGTTGATGACTCCACGACCGGGTATAAACGTCGATGACCCAACGGCTGGGTATTGTAGCCGCTTTGACCCTACGACCGGGTATAAACGTCGATGATGACCCGACGGCCGGGTATAAAGCCGTTATTCTGAAGATTTGTCCAATCTCACACGTGTTACCACGTATGAGCTTGCCGGGGGGTATTGGAGGAACCGGAGATCGACCGAGATCGACGGTCGAGATGAAAAGTCCAAGATTATGGAAATCATGAAGATCGAGAATGATCTAGAAGTTATCATATCTTAAGTTTAGGAAGTTTAACATTATCTCTAAATATATTATTTACATTTATATTTATCATAGATTAGGAAATCTCATCTCTATATAAGAGAATGTAATTTATAACTTTATTCTTATGAGAGTCTATTATAATTCTTCCTAAACACCTTTGTGTTCTTTACTCTCATCAATTTATCAATATTTGAAACTTTCTATTAAGCATTTGATAGTAAAACATATGGGTTACGTTATATACTTAGATGACATGTGGTGTTGTATACATTGCATGTGAAACTAGATAAGTGTTATTAGATGTTATATGAGGTATTACAAGTGGTAGGTTTGGATCACATACCGATATTGACTAATGTGGTATCGAAAGCTTAAAAGGCAAGGTGATAATTTTGGTTTGATAAGTGGTTGATTAGGAAGGAAGAATTACCAATGTAATTGAGAATTGTTATACCCGTAAAATAACTTTGGACGACGATTTTTTTGGATAAAACAATAAAGTGCAAAAATGCTATCTTTTGGTGGAGGAAGAATACCCTTCAATTCCTTCTAGAAAATATATTACTATGAAGTATGAACTTAAAGAAAACTTTAGAGGAGGCTCTAAATGATGATAAAGCGACTCATGACAAGATAGCAACAAATAAATCAAAAATAAAAAGAAGTATATCAGGATGACAAAATTTACTCGAGACAAAAGAATAGGAATTTATATATGGTCAAGAGGGAAGATAACTATTCAGAAACAATACATGCTGTTACAAAACAATGACAAGCCATAAATCAGCTTACCATTTTGTTCAACTCGAGCAATAAAAGGAGGAATAAGATAAATGATTCAAGGTTATTGCTATAAGGTGTTTTCAGGATTTATTTTTGTCATGAAATCTGATGGTTTTAAAGAAATTTGGACGATAATCAGCCAATTTTCTCATAAGAAGTGAATGCACATATCGTATGATAGCTTTGTTGTAACAACGATTTCGGACGACACTTAAATGAGATATTTTTTCTGGTTAACAATTTTCTAGAACGAAAAAATCGATGAGATGCTAAATGAGAAAAAGATATGTCTTATTTTGAAGAATAATTTTGGCGAATACAGCGTAGAGTGTAAAATATTCTCAAAACTATTTTATGCTTGAGGTTAACAAGGTATTTCTAAGTTTAACTTTGGAAACACAATTAGTTTTTATGTCGAGAGACTAATTTTGGATAATAATATTCTAACAATCTAGCAAATGTTTTTTGGTCTCCCAACGAATAAGTCCTGTAAGAAAATAAATAAGGACAGTTAATATAGATATGAATAAGACATGAGAAAAAATATAGTGAAAGATTTTAGAAGAGCGTGACCATTTTATATTAGTATAATTCTTCAAGTTGAAGAAGAGTGTGACCATTATTTGCAAAGATTCCTGCAAATTCACCCTCTATAGCCTATCTTAGAATCTCAATATAGCGAATATTTTTATTTCATTTAATGTACAAAATACTAACCAAAGGGAAATATTTTAGTCATGCTAATTGAAGTAACCACAAGTAAAGTTGACAAAACCTTTAGTGAGAAAAAAAAAAGATTTAAAGTTGTTAAACGGGTTAATCATTATTGTACTTGAAGAGCTGATCATTGATTTGGATTCTTGGAAATGAATCGTGGTGAGTATATGATTCTACTAAGTTGCTCAGGGTCCACTAAGACGAATACGATTCGTCGATGCAACTCCTAAATTGAAAAGTCTTCTCATCACTTTTTAATTCTTTATTTCTTTTGTGAAATTAGTGGACACTACATCAATGACGATAAAAGAAAGAAAGAAATGGGTATAAAGACAAGAAAAGAACATTGATCAATTTCAATGGAATATCAGGAGATGACTTCAAAACCTGAAATGGGGATAAGCTTCATAGGAAAAAAGATAGATCCATCAAATACTACAAAGCTCAAAATGAGATTCTTGGTGGTTCTTATCCATGAATGTAAGCCGTGTTTTGTAGGGTTTAAATCGTCCATTAGAATAGGGTAAATTGATGTTTTTGATCTCTTAAATATATATATATATATATGTATTATTCCCTCCGTATTTAGGTACTTGTATTTTGTTATATGTTGGAAACAAAATGGTTGTTCAAAACATTATTTGATTAATAGTAATTAAAATAGTGAAATATATTTTTATCAATAACATGCATTACGTGAGTTTGAATCTGTATAGTGATTGGGCGACGATACTAACACAAACTGCTATGTTACATGTTTTGATTGAGTAAAAATTGAACAAGATTGGTATCGGAACCACATTGATTACTCTAAAATCTTTTTGATTATCAAGAAAATTATATATACTTTTATAGTTTATGTTAATGTTTGTAACAATCAAATTAAGTGATCACCTCTTATGAAAGAGTAAGTTTGAATATTTGTTATTTAACTAGTAATTTATAGGATTTTGGATTGGCCATGAGAAGAGCATCTATTCACTATACCTCACATGAATTTTACGGTATGATTACAAATTAATCACCTAGTGAAGTCATAAACATTATGACTTTGTCAAAATAAGTCATGGGATTTGATGCGGGGAAATCTACAACCAATGAAATATGGATATCCATTGCAAATATACTAGTGTTGAAAAATCTATATCGGAGTAGGATACTTTGTATGACCAATTAAAATCCATTAGAAAATCAATTCCTTACACTATTACAATACTCATAATAGTTGTTTTGATGCTTCATAGAAAGCATGCAAGGTCCAATTAGGTAGCGCAGAATGGCAGCGGTCCATGGATCCATTCTTATTTAAAAAATTAATTATAAAAAGGTCTTTTTTAAAAAAGAATAATAGAATAAGCCCACAAAATAAAATGTTTAGTAGAAAACAAAGCTTTTTAATAAGTTAGGTCCAAACAATTAAAATTTAATATACATAATACCCCAAATATCACTATTTCTTGTACAAAATTTATTATTAACCCAATTTTTTTTTGCCCTAGGTCTATTAAATTTGTTGGGTCGGAGCTGATAGAAAGCTTACAACTTTGAGTTTTAAGACTCGGTTATCCTAGTGGTCAATTTTTGCAAGATTCTCTAAAAAAACAAAGCATTCATTATAAATTGGAAAAAAATATATTCAAAAATACTTGAAAAAAAATCCACCTACCAATATCTATTTTTGACTATGTGGCTCTTAAACCACTTTTGAAAGTTTTATCCTATATGATTTTTCTTCTTTCTCATCAGTGTCTTCCTCCAACTTCTCCAAACTCTTAACATCTAGACCTTTCCCTTTTTTTGTATCAACATCTAGACCTTTCCCATTGTCACAAAAGACTCCATTGCAATAATCTCTCGGTTTAAGACAAGTTTATCTGGTATAATTACCATTGGAACTCTTCGATGTTGATGCAGCTTGAGACACTTGTAAATCAATTGATTTCACATGGGAGACTAAGCTTTAAATCTTCTCATCAAAATCGTTGTAAACTTCATATACGTTGTTGTGAATCTCAACTAACTCTTTGCTAATGTCCAAGTTGCTCTTGGTTTGTCCTTCTAGCACTTGTTGAAGCATAAGTTCCAACTTGTTATCCTTGAGAGATTGAGTAGATGAGTTATTATGGCCGTGAAAATTTGAGTTTCCTTGAGTTTGATAAGAATAGTGGTATTTTTGGATTGAATGGATGTATTTAGCCAAAGGTTTCTTGTTAGTTCCTCCCATTTAGTATCCTATAACTTGAGGTAGGTACACTTGATGTAGAGGGTTATAACTTTGTTTCTCTAGTAAGAAATGTTAGGTGTTGGTTGATACCCTCGTCCTCCAACATAATTTAATTTCTCTTGTTTCTCTTCAAATGCTCCTTCTAAATCAATAATGGTATTCGACACTTTTCAAGTCTAGCATTCAACTCCTCACACCTTGTAAACTTTTGAAACGTGTCTCTTAACGTCAACTCCTCAAAGTTTAGCACATGGAATATTTGTTAACTTGGACTATAATTACAAGACCCAAAATTGAAGGTTTAAATAGTTGAAGGAAATCCTTATGGTTGGTTTGGACATGGTATGGTACTATACTACTATGGTTTGTAAATGGACATCATTTTAATTTAGTTTTTAAATTATGCTTTTTTAATAAAAGACATCGATTCATATGTGACATCTACATCATCACATTTGAATGGATTTTTTGATCCAAGAAAATGTCACTATAATATTTTTTTAAACCATTTTTTTTTTTTTAAGTTTAGTTTCTATTTTTTAATATTGATTATACTAGTTCACAAAATTTATGACTGACTTCAGACAATAAGACTTAGACTAGGTTTGTTGTTTCTCCAAGTTGAGACTAGGTTAGATTTAATTCTAATTTCAGGCTAATACAGATCAAATTTAAAGTTTGCATTAAATATACCTCACTCTAGTGGCATGAAAAACTTAATTTTCTATTTACCGTAAGAGACTAGAAATTTTGAAATATGTAACATATTTTTTCCTTGGGGAGACAAAACAGCGTCTCGAACCGGAAAGCAAACGAAGAAAAAAAAAAAAACCAAAAGTTTGCAACTTTGAAAATGCCTTCTCATCTTCCAATCTCTCTTTCTCTTTAGCCGTCGTTGCTTTTTAATCAAATCCGTTCTTCTCTCTTTCTAATCTGATTTCCGTCAATACCCATTTCTCTTTTTATTGAGCAGCCGCAATTTCACCGCCGCCGCCGCCGTCGTCGTAATCTATCATCGGCGGCGGCGAGCGGAACAATAACCGGACTGCCAGTGCTTGATTCAGACAAGACAACCTTCTCTGACTCTGTACTCTCGACATTGATGTATCCGACAGTGACTGAGAGAAGAGATTTGGGACTTTGGAAAAAGGCAGACAGGTTGGAGCCAGGCAAAATTGATTTCTCTAATGTAAAGAAAAAAAAAACTTTTGGGGTGACATTGAGAATGGGGATGCAGAAAATGGATACGATTCGTCGGTGGTATTGGGGAAGAAGATGAAGATTTAGCTATTTTTTTCTTCTTCCAACCAGAAATGTTACATCTTTATCATTCTTCTGCACATCATTTTTGTCGTGTTTATGTTCTATTTTGTTTCTCACTCTTGAAGACTAACTTGATTGAGATCTATACAATTTATGGCCTCTTCTGATTTTGTTTGTGTGTGTGTGTCTCTCTCTCTTTCATTGTTTCTCAGAGAATTCAAATCAGGGCAATATCTTATAAGCATTGAACTTTGGACTCATAAGATCTCATTCTGCTTTTATTCTGAGCAACAAGCCAAATTTGTCTTATAGTTTTAGTAGATAGAACTTGTTATTCTTTCAACTCTTCTAAAAGCTGTTAATTATTGAGTGGAGAGTTTTTTCAGAAGTGGCCTAACTTCTCAACAAGCTTGTTCTCTATTTCCATCCTCTTCTTCATCAACAAACCGTAGGTGGAAGCAATGTTTGCGTCTCCTGCTTTTACCTTGAGCTTGCAGTTCAGAGATGTCGTCTCCAATTTCCCTTCGTAGAGGTTTGAGATTGGTACAAAGCTTCCATTTTTGTTGCAGAGCCAGCCATGAGCAGCTCTTAGTGCAGCTCCAAGTGATGCTGAATCTGTTGTGCACACAAACAAACACTTTGTTCAATCCATAAGGAGATCAAGATAGTAAACAAGTATAAGCTGCAACTTGTTTTGTATGTTCAAAGTGTTACCAGGCCTTTGGACAGTATATACATCACATCCGAAGATTGCTGAGATCAGACTCAAGATGTTCTCGTTAGCAGATGCACCTCCTGTGGCTATTATTCGGATTGGAGGGGAAGGCATTCCAAATCTCTCGGTATGAGCCCGCTTTGAAAGAAACTGACCTTCAATTAATGCCCTAACCTGACAGCAAACAATACATTGGGATGACATCAAACTATGTAATTGCCCTGTGGATGCTACATAGAACAGTTTAGGAGCTTGCTTACCTCTGAGGGAGGGTCGAACTCACCGACCTCTTGTTCCTTCACACCCTCAAGAGACTCACCAGAGAAGTTCTCAAGAATGTAACGATGAGACCCAACTAAGCATGGAGAAAAACATTTGTAAAGGAAGCTTATAGTAAGTTACCTAGAGCAGTGACATGGAAAGGAGAATAACTCAAGATCATACCGGGAAGCGGAGGGAGAATTTCATTTTCAGTGTAGTAGAAGCCGAGTTTCCCATCTAATGGATTCAGTAGTGTATTTAGAAAACAAAGAACCTGAATATATTATAGATGGACACCTGAAGGATTATGAAATAGCAACTTACTGTTTAGTGGCTGTGTTTGCTGCAAATACTTATTAAAAACATCCCAAGATCCCTCAGCACAACGGTCACGAATTTCTGAAATGAAAAGTCAAATATTCTTAATTGTCTATGAATCAAACAAAGCGCATAAGAACAGATAAGAGTGGGAGTTTTCAGTCATGACTACCTTCACGGGTGAGAGAAGCATTCTTGTAAACCAACATTACCATATAACTCTCAGGGTCCACGGGATTAGGTAACACATGGCCCTCAAGACTGGGTTGATGTTCTTTGGTAATCCCAAATACCTGTAAAAGTTTACAATGTTCGACATGTGAAATGGTAAGAATACTGCTAGTCTATTTCTGGATTAACTAACTAGAAAGCTCAACAAGAATCAAGAGCCTTGCCGTGTCACTGGTGCCAAGACTGATCGCCAGATCTCCAGGAGTACTAAGAGTTAGACCTGCAGAACATGGTATAACCTCCTCAACACCTTGAATTTCATATACGAACACAGACAGAAACCAGTCTTCGCAAGATACACTTCCAGTTCATCATAATTGTTGCAATAGCTACTCAAAAGCTTAATAAAAAAAAAATTGTGAAAATGTATAGGAACTTCTGCCTTATGTTGTTGAATATGTGTACCTGCCAAGCTATTAGGATTATCTCCTGACCACTGCACAACCACGCAGTTCTTTTCAAAACCGAACCTGCAACATAACCAAAAGAATCTCTGAATCTGACATGTGAAAGTGCAAGAATCTAAAAGTTATGTTTTAAAATGCATATCAAGTCCATCATCTTCTTTTAACTACTTTCTAAATCCGGTTTAGAAGACACAATCCTAATCACAATCGATACCAACCTCTGAACAAAATACTGAGAAATGGAACCAGCAGTAGCATAAGCTGGTGCTAACTTTCCAAGCTTCTCCTCCAAACCTGTAGCTGTAGCCTGCAAACGAAGCCTATCAACAAACAGCCATTTTTAATGTCTAACTATAGACTCAAAGTCAATCACAACAAACCTCTAAAGCAGCTTTAGACCAACAACGTTTCTTAATATCCATCAAATTCATCCCAGCTGCATCAGTTTCATCAATAGAAGCATAATCTCCTATCAACAAAGACGCCATAAAAGAGCTAACAAGCGATATCCGCTCAGTGCTCTTATACGTATCCCCCTGTGTCGTAAAAAGCTTTCGTATCTGCGGGCCAGTAAACCGCTCATAAGCACGAGAGCCAGTGATCTGTGACAACTCCATAGCTCCACCAACAGCATTCTCAATCTCTTTACACTGCATTGTAGTACTACTATCCATCCATATAGGAGATTCCTTAACCGAAAAAGCGTTTTCAAGTTGATCTTTCAAACATCTCTTTGAATCCAATGATTTCAATACCTCAGAACTACCCTTTGACCAATACACGCTACCGTGTTGCTGCCCGCTGCCCGAAACCGCAATAACTTTACCGAAATCGAAATTGGCATTAGAGAGCTTCTGGAGAATGAGATCAAATGCTTCGACCCACATGAGAGTTGGTGAGACGATTCTTCCATTGACAGTTGTGTCTCTGTAAACCCCATCTTTGGTTTTGTAATGAGGAAGATCAGAATCAAAATGAACGAGTTCTGTTTTAACAATGTTTAGGTTTGAATCCAACACAGTTGCTTTCAATGACCTTTAATGGAAATAAACAAACAAGAAATAAGGAATCGTGATTTAGATCGACGAAGCTAACGAATTTCAAAGTGATCGAAGAGTGATTAGATTATGATCAAATCAGAGAGATAACATAGGAAGAGAGTAATTGGTAAGGAAGGGGGACGTACTGGGTAGAGCTGTCGAAGCCGAGGAAGAGGGAATCGGGAGGAAGAGAGACATCTGCCATTGTTGATTGATCCAAAGTTTCACAGAGGAAGATGACGAGAGATGTGTCGTTTTTATAAGGTTGGATAATTTAAAACAGACACTAATCAGTATTATGGATAAGAGCGGAGGTAGAGTCATTAGTCATTACTTCCGAATATTTAGAGACTAATTATGATCAGAGAGGATGATTTTGTTGGGATTTTGTTTTCTAACCTTAATTAGGTATCCACGTCATGTACATCAAAAGAACAATTTTGTTTAAAAGAATTTTAATGTCAATGTAACGCAATAAAATAAGTTTATTAGTGTGAATTTTTTAAAAAAAATCTCTCCATTTTCTCTTGTTTTTTTTTAAAAAAACTTTTCCATAATTCTCTTTTTTTTTTATCATCCGGTATAATTTGCCGGTTTCCGTATCTGGTTGAAAATTATCATCCGGTATAAAGGAAATAAGAAGGAGATCATTCAAAACTTTGCCATCCTAATTTCGTCGTCTGTTGTTTTCGACTTATGTCACCGCTTTTGTAGTATGTGTTTTCTTTTAGTTTTGAATAATCTCCGCAAGAATTGGTGTTGTCCGATTCAACTACTTAATTCTTCCTTATACATATGTTGATTCTCTTTATTTATGTTTCATCGGTTCATCGATTTACAAAAATAATCAAAGAAGATCGTCACTAAGATTGCTTGAAAAGAAGATTTGTTTCTAGAAAATTTGGATAACTTCAAATAATCGGAAGTAGTTGTGGATAACTCTCTCGTTTGCTGGAAGACTTCAGTTGCTAAAATCAGTAGTCTTCAGCATCACGAACTTTTGGATTGCAGCATTTAGGCTCCCTAAAACTTGTATACAAGAGATAGACAAGATGTACTCCCAAAAAAGAGGGCAGTTTAGGGCTAAGATCGCTAGAGGAAGCGAACAAAGTGAGTATGTTAAAATTGATATGGCGCATCCTATCAGCAAAGAGCTCTTCGTTATGGGTGGATTGGGTGATCAGGAACCTAGTTCGTAACGGTTCCTTCTGGGCAGTGAAAGAGAACTCCATGTGTGGGTCATGGATATGGCGAAAACTTTTGAAATATTGGGGGTTGGCGAGACAGTTCCATCGAGTAGAAGTTAAAAACGGTGAGAATACATCCTTCTGGCATGACATATGGTCTGATCTTGGCTGCCTAAAGGAGACGCTGGGGGAGCGAGGCTGTATAGACCTGGGGATACCCTTGTCAAGCACAATGAGAGAAGTGCTGGTAATGACCAGAAGGAGAAAACACAGACAGCCCGTGATGAACCTTGTGGAAGAAGAAATAAGTAAGTAAAGACAGAAACCGAGGAGAGATGAGGCTGATATAGCCTTATGGAAAGGAAAAAACAGTGGCTACCACAAGAGATTCTCGACGAAGGAGACTTGGATGCAAACCCGAACTGCTAAACAAACAATGAAAGGATATAAGGAGATTTGGTTTCCTCACGCAACTCCGAAATATGCTTTCATCACTTGGTTGGTTGTTAAAAACAGAGTCGCAACGGGGGAAAGGATGCTCTCGTGGAAGCAAAATGCAATTTCAAGTTGTGTCTTTTGCAATGAACCCATAGAAACAAGAGATCACCTATTTTTCAATTGTCCGTATTTCAAAAAGGTGTGGGAACAACTGGTCAAGGGACTTATATCGGATAAGTACTCGGAAAGCTGGAAAGAAATTATCAACCTTCTTGCAGGTAAGGTTCTGGACAAGACGAAGAGTTTTCTCTTGAACTACACTCTACAGAACACCATTCACTCAATCTGGAGCGAAAGGAACAAGCGAAGACATGGGGAACAACCCACCTCAATGGAGATTCTGGTAAAGATGATTGATAAAAATGTACGCAACCGTTTGAGCACCATCAAAGGGAGAGAGGAATGGAGCAGGAGTGGTATCCAAGTTTGGTTTGCCTCAAGACCATAGCCAAGAAACCTACTGTTGTCTAAAAATGTTCTAAAAATGTTATGCATTGATTTGTAGAAAATGTTTATTTTTCTTTTGAATATAATTTCATTAAATTCAAAAAAAAAGATCATATTCTTCTTCTTCTATCCGTTTTCCCTAAATCTCTTTTGTATTGATGATTTTGATGTATTGCATATATTCTTTTTAGTTTTTTAGTGAAAAAAAAAATGAAAATAAACTGGCGTAAATTAAATTTTGGTATCAATTTGTTCAGCATAATCGGGGTCGGAACACGTCTATGTCATTTCTAGTCGCATGATATATGTTTGAGTGGAGATAACTCATTTTTTCGTATGGTATCGACGACTGGACTCTTTAATAGGCTTTTATTGATGTTTGTAAATCTATTATGCATTAGAATTTTGGTTTTATTTGTTTAGTTTTGATATATTACATTTTTTGGAAAACAATAATTATATTAGAAGTTACATATACAAATATGGGACAAGTGGATAACAAAGTATAAGGATTAACAGAATTGAAAAGAAAAGATTGTTTGGAAAGGCCATTTTCGCTAAGGTATGTCCGACTCAGCAAGGATGTCATTGACTAATAGCAACATGCCAACATTTGCAATAAACGAAATTGAGACTTTGAAATCTTGAAGCTCACAACTTTATTTCTTTGCACAGATTTATTTCTTATCACTACTAAACTTTTGAATTTTATTCCTTTTTCAAATGTTGTGATGTGTTTTTGGTGATTTTAGTTCTAGAGTTATTTAAATTACTATTTTTGCTTTTTTATCCAGATAAAAATCCCAATAGGTTTTGGTTCTTAATGTTTAAAATTTATAACCCTTTAGATTTTACTATTCTAGTATTTTAACCAATTTTAGTTTGCAAAATCCAATTCTTATCAAAATTAGATCAAAATGAACCAGAATTTCATCGAACTAACTGAAATAATTGAAACCCAAATATTTCAAAAAGTCTAAAACGAAGCTGAAAATATATTTTGATTTTAAATCCATCTTCATCATTTACTGTACATGAACAAATTGAAGAATAAAAACCACAAATACAATACCAAATTGTAAAGATGAAAAGGAATTGCACAAGCGAGATGTCGGATCTATTTCCTTATATCTTTAAATACCATGTAGTGTAATGGTGTCATAGCGGTAAAATTATCATGATACAGCTATGTATCTCTTTTGTTTTCCAATACCGAAAACCATGAGCTGACGAACCAAATTTTTTTTTTGGGCATTCTTAGACACGATCAAGAAAAGAAGAATAAGCGGGAATTTGATGTTGATGATCGATAATGATCAGAACAAGAAGACAATGACTTAACTTATATAGCCTAAACTCAACGTCCATGTATTCAAGAGGAGAATTTGTCAATAACGAGAATTGATTCTCACGTTAATGTCACTTGATGTGAGTTAATCTTTTAACAACAAAATTCAATTGTTTAAATTTCAAAAAGAAATATGCTGACTCGGATCAACAATATAATTTAAAAGTATGGGGAAAATAATCATTTGGGTTGTAAATCCATTTCATAAATCTCAAATCCAACCTAATCCATGTGTGTTTGGATTTTTCCTCTAACTTTCAAAATAGGTAATTTGATTCTAAGTCACAATTTAAAGGTTTCCAAACTCGACATTTTTCTGTACATAGACATTTTCTACTCGCATATCAGTTTGTGTTGCGGTTAATCTTCCTGCATCGCCGCTATTGTGCCATCAGAGGAGTTTGTGTTTCTTTCAGGAGTGTTGCCGCAGCCTTATACTCCTCTAATTTGGCATCTTGGTCCCTGATCTTCAGGCGTGTGGGTGGAGTTCTCCGGTACAAATCTAAAAGATCTAAATAATTCACGCCACTTTGGATCTTCATTTCTAAACTCGCCACTTCTGATCTACATTTTATATTGCAGAATAATATTTTGCATATTAAAAACTGAGCACATTGCATGTTTTTACCATCATTTAATTGGAATGGGTTGAAATTTAACTCTTTCATCTAAATGAATGTAATTGTCGAATAATCGTTTTTTTAAGATTCTTATAGACCTAAAACGTTATACTATTTTTAACTGGCTAAACACAAGTAAAAAAATTATGGATGGGAATCGAATTTAAGGAAAGAATAAGTTGACTGCCTCACTAAATCTTTTACCGCTAAACCACTATTGATTAAATGTTATCTTGTGTATCAAGACACTGCAAACGTTTTTTTTTTTGGTGTAAAAGACACTGAACACTTAATTAGCTTATTCTCTTTTAACTGGTATAAATATGCAGTTTTTATATTTTCTATGAAATATACCAAAAACGGGCTTTGTAATTGGTCGACTCTCTTATCAGAATTTGATGTCAAGTCCGCGTGATAAAAACATATCAAGAACATGGTCTAATATAGTGGAAAGAAAAAATATTTGACAGTAATAGAATCGTTGAAAATTCAACTATCTTCAACCTTATTCAAAAGGAATATAAAACGAAAAACCGTAATTGGCTCCAAGTTTGGTTGAAAAATCAAAAGCCAAAATCTATGAACGAGATTAATTGCCCACTAAAGCCCCTTCTGTTATTGGCACACGCTCTTGTCGTTATAGTTAAAAAGTTCTCCATAAACAGAGACATTTTGCTTATTTACTTTGGTGAACAAAATATCATAAAACTTGGTTCATGTTGATATATAGACTGATTTGCCCAAAAAAAAAAAAAGTTGATATATAGACTGATTTGCCCAAAAAAAAAAAAAGTTGATATATAGATTGTTATATAAGATATATTTTTGTCTGATATATGTTTATGTATCATGGGTTAAGATGTCTTACAAATATGTATTTATGTATCAATGAATCCGTATAGTAGTATAATGATTAAAAAGATAACAATTGAAATCTTCATATTATGTGGAATCAAGAAATGAAAAAAATGATAAGTGGTGGACCTTGTAACCTAAGATCCAGGAAACTACAGAGGAGAGCCACTGATAGTGTGTCAATAATTATTCTCCCACCCATCACAAAGAAAAGTTAATTTAATTTATCACTCTCAGTAAATTATAATCAAAATAAACACCAACAGTAGTCAACTTTC